TTAAATATGTCCATTAAGTGAGAGACAATTTCCGAAAGAAAAGATCTTTAGTGTCCAATCTTTTTTTCTGTCAAAACACTTTCAGAAGCGTCCATTGATCTCAGGAACAAGGGAAGCATGATACCTCCTTCTGGAACAAATCTGTATCTCATGACAAATTTCTTCAACTGGAATGTCTCAAACATGACTATTCAAGTTCTCCAAAATACACGATGAAGCGGCGAAACTAAATTTTGGGTAGAGCACTTTTGGCACAAACTTCTTAGTTGTAACCAATCTCTCCTGTCTATGACGAACAATTCTAACTGGAAAGCCTCTAACATGACAATTCAAAGATCACAAAATACACGATGAAACGGTAAAATCAAATTGTGCGTAGAGCACTTTCTCCGTGCGAACAAATTCTCATCAGCGGGAAAGCGGCGAGAAACCTCGCCTCAGACCCGCAAGCCCCCCGCAGGAGGTAAAGCCGCACCGAACTTTTTCTTTTACTGCCTTACATCTTCGCAACTCAAATGTCTCCAAATCCGACGCAATAGCCGGCGCCCGCGAGAGCAAGACCCGCAAGGGGTCAAGCCCCCACTCCTCTTCTTACTCTTAGCTTGAAAGAATCAGGAAACAGAATGATCTCTAGCCTGGTGCAAGCACCCAGGAAATCTCGGTTTCTCCGCCTCTGTGAGTTCATAGGCTTTCAAAAAAATCATAAAATTAAATCTTACCAATCCCGGAATTTTATGTTATCTAAATTGAGAAAATGACACACCCATGACGAATCAAACACCAGAAAATCTGACAATGAAATCCGAAAAACATCTGCACACATAACGTGAGAAAAAGAAGTAGACCCCCCAACTAACAAGCGAAACTAGCTTTTACGAGCATCCAATTATCTAACTTAGTACACCTCCCACTGTCTTGAATAAGAAAATTGCAAACTTTAAACAAAGCGACAGGAAAACAACTTCCGTTTCACACACATTAGCTAAAAGGGCAACATTGTTAGTGAAAAAGCCATAAACCAGATGGCTCTCGCAATCGTTTCCCGCCTTAGTTACAATTCCTACTCAAGAACAACAAGTTAAACAACACCTTAAGAGATAAGAATACTCTTTTCCAGATTAAAATACACATGAATACGAATAAAAATATTAGAATAATAATAACTTAAAACACATATTAATAATTGAAATTCTCGACATAAAAATAATGACGAGGAATTTGATTTAAATCATATCAAAGACGGAGTACATCGTGATGAAATACTACATTATAAGCCGAATAAAATAAAAACATCTGCCCTGAAGATGAGGATAGTGTTGACAGATTAACTTCCAGTTCACTGCGTGCCGCGACGTTCCCCCCTTCCCCGCAGAGCAATGTGAAATTGATAAACAGATTTCGGAATGATTAGAGAAACAAAGGATATGCCTTTATCCATTTTTTGCAGCAATTCCACTTTTTGTTTGATGGACATCGAAACATGCTTTCTCTTTGTAGATCCTTTGGCAGCTCCAGAATCGGAAATTCTTTTTGACATAATCAAAAGTTCATGCTTACTTTTATAAAATTACTCTAACAGTCTGCAAAAAATAAGCTGGATCCAATTCGAAGATTAAGGAACAATGCAATCTGCAACATTAACTGAAATAGATAATTAGATAATTTTAACTTAGCTTATACCATCCGTTATACATTAAACGCGCATGCATAAACGTATTATGCACATGCGTAGAAAGTTTGTAACTTTGAGGTCCGGATTAAAGACTTTTGACTGTATGAGGAAAGTGCAGAATCACCCACTGCTTGGCATGTTTTTAAGAATTGCACATACTCGGTATCCATGTACATGTCAACCTATTTTCACTTTAAAAAAATCCCAGAATTGCACAAAAATGGCATTGTGCACACTCTTGACTTTATCCATGTACGCATCGACCTATTTTCACTTAAAAAGGTCAAAGAAAATTGACAAAAATCCAATTCTTCTTACTTTTGTAAAAAGCGCCAAACGAACGTGAAAAAAATAAGTGGGTGATTCTGCACTTTAGCCCAAAATATGATTATGTTGTCAGTTCAATTGAAGTAGGGACATTGTTACAAGTTCTCCCTCTGTCTATGGCATATCACCAATTTTAAATGTGGCAACCCTGCCTTCCCTTACCATTTTCTGGCAACCCTAAACCTGCTTTGCGGGGAAGCTATCTTACCACGGCTGAACATTTCGTAACACTGCCCCCTCCCAAGTACTGCACGTCCCGGGCAGTACAATCCTTGATGAGAAGTAGGCTAATCTTTGGAATATGGTAACAGGTAGTTTGGTGACATTTTGGTAAGGCAATAAAGGTTGATAGCTAGGACTTAGTAATGTACATGGATAAAGTCAAGATTGTGCGCAATGCCATTTTTGTGCAATTATGGGATTTTTTTTAAGTTAAAATAGGTCGATGTGTACATGGATACCGTGTATGTGCAGTTCTTAAAAACACGGCAAGCAGTGGGCAATTCTGCACTTTCTCCCAATTTCGCACCTAATCTTCGTCATGATTAAGCACTTTTGTTCCATAAAAGTTCTAGCATAAGCGTAATTCGACTAGCAGATTGTTTGAAAAATATGTTGAGTTAAAAAAAAACATGCCTTTACTTCGTAAAAACAAAATAATGGCGTCCAAAAAAAACTAGCAGGTTGCTGTAGCAGGGTTGGTCACCAAAAAATCGCCAAGTATTATAATTCGAAGATTAATGCAGAAGCATAATTCGATGCAAATAAAAGGTAATAAAACAAACACATAACATAACTAAAGAAACAAATATTTACACTATTTACAAGTCATATACACAAATTAACTGCATAACAATTTTAAATTTTTATAAATTAAAGTTCAGAATGAATTTCAGTCTCAGGTTTTTCATTAAGTTATACCCGAGTCAAACACTTTTTCACTGCAGTTCTCAGATGTTTTTCATATCAGAGTCTGAAGATTCAGTCCTTTCAGAATTTTAATCCACAGGAAGATCTCAAACAGTTTGTTCACCACTCTATAGTTTATTCGCATCATGTATACAGTTCATCATATATTCAGCAGCGGCTACATGCTCATTTTTCCCCCGTTCCCTGAGAACCAGTTCCGAGGTTTGCACCAGGGTCATGAAAGGAATCCGATTCTTTCCAAATACAAGTATCCTGCCTTAAAATCAAGTTTGTATTTGCACAATCTGTATTTAGGAGACACACAGTTTGTGGAGTGGGTGGATTTTCTTGCAATATTTTCTTGAACCCTGCTTAAGCTGCATATCAGCTTCTCCTATCTCTGCATCACATGCACTTTCAGATGGTTCAACACTTCCTGCCTGTGACTTCATAACTTCACTATCAAATTCTACCAACATAACAGTCACATTTTCATATTCTTCCATTTCTACTTCAGGCCCATGAGAATCAGGAACTTCTTTCCCATCTTTCATTTCTTCATCTTTTCGATCTCTCTCTTTAATCTCGTTAGATGTTTCATATTTCATTTCTTGATTTTCTGATTCTTCAAATGCCACTAATATCTTGTCCACATGGCTCCAGTTTTACCTGTTGGGATTGCTCTTGCACTTTTTCTCGTCCGGGTTTCATCTCTTGTTGTCCGTCCTTCATCTCTTCCAGTCCGTTTTTCATATCAGCTGTCATCTGTTCATATCCAGCTTTTATCTCAGCCATCATCTGTTCATATCCAGCTTTTATCTCATCTTTAAGTGAGTTGATGGCACATTCCATCTTTTCTTGGAATGAAGTGAAGGCTGTCATAAGCTGTCTTAATTGTTCTTCCATCGCACTTATCACTAACATTCACCCTCAAATTCCACTTCTGACACCAGTTGTTATGTTTTTCTTATGGTTCATAAATTTGAAGTGAATAACGACGACACTTGATGAAGTATCAAAACTCAATTTATTAGCCGCTATTATTCAAAACACCTCCAAAATCATGTTTACAGTCGTCGAAGAACTACTATAAACGGTGCAGACAGCTTCACGGCAAAGCACCAGAATACAGCTCTTGATTCTGCTCAGTCAATCTCGGAGCTCTACGTACTCTTGAGACCCCATGCTACAACTTGCGATGCACTCAACGTTACGCTAGAGTACAGCTCCCGGCTCAGTTCGATCGCTTTCGGAACTCAATACATTCTAAGATGAAGCTCGATGATGCACTAACTCGTGATACACTAAGAGACTTTCTTGATGCATTCGATGACCAACTCGGCATTCGTTGACTGACTTGACAAGGTACTCGCTAGACGAGACACTAACTATCAACTCGTACTCCACGTACCAGCAGGGTATATATAGCTTTAGGCTTGTGTTCGAGAACATTCTGTGCTAAACCAGTAAGAATTCGTTCCAGAAGGTTCTCCATCTGTCTATGGCATGTCACCAAATGGACGATTTCTCGCCAAATGTGGCAACCCTGCGTTCCCTTGCAGCCCTAAACCTGCTTTGCGGGGAAGCTATCTTATTGCGGCTGGATATTTCACAACAATATTAATTGTAGACTTCTTCAGTTTTGCAATTTCACTTACATTTAACTTCCAAAATTTTACTTGAAAAAATTATGTAACTGAAAATATATTTGTTATCCAGATGAATTCAACAAAGAAATTGATATTTTTTATCGAGTTGTTTTTGCGTGGTGAAAAATATTCTTTGTATATTTTTATAACATATAGATCCAGGATTAGCAATCTGAAAGTAGGTGATAATGTGATGTTATGCTTCAAAGCAATTGATTAAAAAAATTTGTTTCTTTTATTCACTCAGTTCCTATGAATCCTTTGAGCTTAAATAATTCCCCTAAAGCTTATGATAATTTTCAGTTTCAGTAGCTCGTAAGTTTCAAGTGAATTCAGCTGAATTTTAAAACTATTTCTTGTTAATGGTCTTGCATTTCTCTCTTCAGCTTTATTAGCCATACTCTGTTGCATTTTTAAATGACAAGTGAATTTGTATATTTCAGATGAAGAATATCAAGAGCCAAAACCAAAAAAGCGTTTAATTGAAGTTTCAAGTAATTCTGTTGCTTCTGTCACCAAAGAAATTAGTGTAGATTCAAGTGAGAAATGCCAAAAGCCAAAACCATATAAGAGTTCAGCTGAAATTTCTGAAATTTTAAATGATTCTTTTGAGACTGTAGCCGAAGACTGTAATGTGGATGATCTTGTCGGAAAATGTTCTGATGTAAGTATGAAAATTTTAATTTTCAAATTTTGGTACTTTTCCGTTTTGAGGACCATAAAAATTGCAGCGAAAATGTATGCGCAAAATCGCCAAATCTAGCAAAAGCGCCCATTTAACAGCGTGCCACATCTAGCGTATGCACTGATTTCAAATTGTGTAAGTTTATATAGTTCTATATTTCTTAAGACGCCATTGAAATACTAGTTTAATTTTTAAATCCTTTTTTGATATCCTATGGATTTAACAATTTGGGAATTGCCCATGACAAAAAGTCAGCAATAGAATTTTGGGTAAAGTGCAGAATCACCCATTCTTTGATGCCTTTTTAAGAATTGCACATACTCGGTATCCATGTTCACATCGACCTATTTTCACTTTAAAAAAAAAAATCCTAGAATTGCACAAAAATTGCACTGCGCACACCCTTGACTTTATCTATGTACACTGCTCAAAAAAAAAAAAAATGGGACAGTGTTATTTCTCCCGTTCTATTGGGCCGATTGACAAAATTCAAACTGCGTTTTTCATGTCTCCAAAGCGCGACTTAGGATATATATTAGATTTATATATAGCACTATTCTAACATAGGTATTTTGACACAAAACCGGACTTTTTCTGAAATAACATACCAATTTTTTTACATATTTCGATTCTACGACTCAAATTATGCCAGAATACCAAGTTTTGTAAAAATCGTACGAGTAGTTTTTAAAATATTAGCTTTCAAAATTTTAGCTCCTCAATGTTAATTGAATTTGACAAATATTTATTAATATCTCTTTTTTTTTTTTTATTAAACTTTTTTGATTTTTTCTCTCACATTTCGAAATTTAGGTTCATTCCAAATAAAATTTACCCATTTTTTGTGTTTATTTTTTTAATTTCTATTTTTAAATAATTTTTATACATTTTTCGAAAAAATATTTGAATTATAACCTATAAAATTTTTACCATCATCTTAAAGTAGGTGTATTTTTAAGCATATCTGCAAAAAATTAGACTTTTTTATTCAAAATTTTCTAAGATATACACGAATTTACATATTTTCGCGTTTTGAAATTTGGCATCTTTTTTCTGAGCGATAATAACGCCAAATGTGGTCTATGGATTTTTGTTACGGTGAATTGCCACAGCTATTTTTAACCTTAAATTTCAAGTAAAATTTTACGGAGAATTAATTATATAACATTTTTTCCCTCAGTGATGCGTAATAATAAATATTTATTAATACTATATGAAAAGCTTTTTTTTTTTTTTTAATTATAGATGATATTATTCAAATTTTTAACTATTTTTTTTTTTTAATTTCTCTCTATCTTTTTTTTTTTTTTTTTTTTTTTTTTTTTTTTAAATAAGAGTAAATTTTTACCTTCGGTTTTTTCTGTTTCTACTTTTTCCTTCTTTTTTTTCGCTAATTACTTCTACTTTTCTTTGAACTGAATGGCTCTAAAACTAAAGAGAATTTTTATAGAAATTAGATTTAGAATTATTTTTTGAATTTGATATGACATACAACCCCTAGAACGAATAATGGAATTCATGGTTTTAGAAACTCGCACTACTTACTGGATTATTTGAAGTAAAATAAATTAAATGAAACCCAAATTCTGATTCAATTAACAATTTAGCTTTTGAAATGAAGAAGTTTTTTAAACATAAAAAATAAACTCATTTTTTATACTAAAATGTATTTTTTATGCGTAGCGTATTTTCATTATATCCTTAAAATTCTAATTTAGAATGTAATTGTCAAGAACTGAATCCTAATCATCAGTAATATAATAAGTAATTATTACGGTTATTAATAAATCCTTCTTATAAAGTAACTGCAGATATTTCAAAATCTTTCTGTCTGAATGCAAATATTTTTAATTTTATATTAATCAAGATTGCACATGATATTATTTATTTGCACTTCAATTCTTTCCGTCAGTTCTAGTAGAAGTTACAAATCAATTATATTTAATTAAGGATTGGATTGGATTGGATTATTTAATTATGGCAAAGCACACGAGCACGAGGGCTATCTGCCTAAAGGGAGGGATGCCTTCGTGGAGGACTTTCAAAGCAAAACTGGCTGGTATACACGTTACACATGGGGAAAACCACGAAAACACCCATGCAGCCAGCCTGTTCGCGGGATTCAAACCTCGGACCAAACTACCAGTGTTCAGCGTCTTTACCGCTCGGCCGTTTGTGGACCTTTATGAAATGGAAGGCGATAACTTTATTTAAAATGATTGTCAGAAATATTAAGATTATTTCGAAAAGTTGGATGCTTTTTAATATACTTGCAGAATGCCTAAAGAAAAAGAGCAAGAATAAAGTAGAATGCCAGAAGAAAAAGAGAAGAAAAAATAAATTTCTGCGTAAAATTTAGTATTAGTATTTTTTTTTTTTTTAATTTAAAACATTTAATCTTATGATATTTGATTCTTGCGATTTCAAAAATAAAATATTGACTAAAATATGAATAACATTTTAAGAAACCAAATGTAGGATAAAATTGTGTAAAGCAATGGGCAGAATGATAAAACTGTTTAAAGCAGTGTATGCAAGTCATCCTAAGTTAAAATGTTGGTTATACATCTCTCTTATTTATATATAACATTTCTGAACGGAACATTGAAAGGTGTGTTAACTGTGCTTCACTGTATTTTCTCTTTTAATATATGCAGTTTTCAAACACATCGTACTCTGGGTTACAAAGTATTCTTCCGAAAGAAATGCAATTCAAATAAATAAAATCAAATTCTGGAAATTTATATTAATAAATATATTTAAAATGCTCAGTTCAAAGGAATAAATAGAAAATTTTTTTAAAAAATTATCTGAAATGACAATGAAACACAAACAATTAAAATAAAAGTCTAAAAATTAAAAAATTATGTAAAATAATAATTATGACAAAATATATATATAAAGAAAACTATTTGAAAAAAAAAAATAAAATAAACGCTGCACCTTTATGCAGTTCGAATAGGTAAATAGAAATTTTTAAAACAGTTATTCGAAAAAAAAACATGCAACTTAAACAATTAAAATGAAATTCGAAAAAGAAAAAATTACTTAAAATAATAAGTTATAATTAAAAATACAATATAAAGAATATTATTTTGGAAAAAAGGAACGATGGTAACTTTTTTTTCCTCTCACACGGGAAAGGAAACTAGGGTTGCCATATATTAAGAAGTTCGCCAAGTGAACTATTCTTGGCGCAAACTGAAAAAAAAAGTGCCAACATAAATTTGTGTGAATTTCTCCGTAAATTTCGCTCCAAATTTTACGAAATTTCATATTTAGGCGTAATTTGAGTTGTAGAATCGAAATATGTAAAAAAATTGGTATGTTATATCAGAAAAAGTCCGATTATCTGTCAAAATACCTATGTTAGAATAGTGCTATATATAAATCTAATATATATCCTAAGTCGCGCTTTTGAGACATGAAAAACGCAATTTGAACTTTGTCAATCGGCCCAGTAGAACGGGAGATATAGCACTGTCCTTTTTTTTTTTTTTTTTTTTGAGCAGTGTACATATCGACCTATTTTCACTTAACAAGTAAAAGAAAATTGACAAAAATCCAATTGATTTTACCCTTGTAAAAAGCGGCAAACAAATAAGTGAACGATTCTGCACTTTACCGAGAATATTTTCAAAGAAAAGGCATCATTCATTATAAAAAATTACGTTTGACCAACCAAACGAGATGAAATTATGCTTTAGCGATAAGTCGGTAGCGAAATAGCGATGCAGGCATCCATTCAATTATGTTTAGCAATTTTTATATAAATTATAATACTGATCTGAAATAGTTATTTACTATTATGCTTCCATTCAGTCATGTTTAGCCTTTTTCATATAAATTATAATAATAAAAAATTAAAACATCAACCTTAGATAGTTATTTACTATTATACTTCCTTTCTTGCCGCAATTATTTTTGGCAGCATTGGCATCAACAATAGTTTGGCGATTTTTTACGGCCACAGAAACCGAATACAGTCAAAAGTCGTTAATTCGAACACCCATAATCCGGAATGATCTATAATCCGGACCTCAAAGCTACAAACTTTCTGCGCATGCGTCGCATTCACGCATGCGCACAGGCGTTTACGAGAGCGCATAAGACCCTTACAGCTGCGAATATGTTTGTGCGCATGCGCGTTTAATGTGTAACGGAGTTATACGCTAAGCTAAAGTTATCTAATTCAGTTAATGTTGCAGATTGCGTCGTTCCTTAATCTTCGAATTGGATCCGGCTTATTATTTTTTGCAGACTGTTAGAGCAATTTTATAAAAGTAAGCCTGAACTTTCGATTATGTCAAATAGAATTTCCGATATATATTTACTACAAAGCGAAAGTATGTTTTGAAACCCGAAATCTGTTTATCAATTTCACGCTGCTCTGCGGCAGATGGGGGGGGCAGAAACGTCATTATTAGATTATGATAGATTAGAAAGATTATGTCAAATAGAATTTCCAATATATATTTACTAATATGTAATTTGTATCTACAAAGCGAAAGTATGTTTTGAAATCCGAAATCTGTTTATCAATTTCACGCTGCGGTTTTCATTGATTGCGGATTGGAGTATCTCTGGCATCTTCCCAGATTTTTTTATTTTATTTTATTGGTTTATAATTCCGTACTAAGTGTAGTATTTCATCTCGCGTCTTTGATATGATTTAAATCAAGTTCCTCGTCATTATAATTCGCTTCCGATAGTGAAGAAAGTGACCCAGAGGTTATTGAAAACGAAAACATTTCGATTGACAAATTAGTCGGTATTCTCAACACAGCAGCATTATAGGACTTGAACAGCGGAGCTTTGTAACTAAACAAGAATTATGTCTGTTTAATAGAATTAAAGAGAAAGTATTATCACATGAAACGAAGCAACTTACATTGAAGGAAATGTTTAATAAAGTAAACAAAATAAATATTAAGCTTTTTCTTTTGTAAATTTTGATACCCTTTAGATCATAATTGTTC